AGGCGGTGCGAGCTCAGAGGGAAAACCTTTCAAGACATGCTCGCCTCGTGAACAAAAGTGCAGTGGAAGGCTTTTGGCAGTTTTCGGTCTCTGGAGGCCCTCCCCGGGCCCCGGGACAGTAAGAGAACGGCCCGGGATTCAAAACCGGCTCTGGGTCGGGACTTCCGAGGGCCCCGTGTTGAAATCAAGACATTGGATATCTGGGTTCGCACACCCCAGACATCCGTCGCCTCGAACAACTCGGCCGTTCGGTCGCCAATTTCAGCCCAACGGGAGGCGGGTTTCGGGCTTCGGGGTCATTAACAAAAACGTCTCGTAATGACAACGTTGACCAAGGGACCGAGAGTTCTTGGGGGGCTACGCATCGAAAAAGTCAAAGCGCCGCGGAGAGAGGATGCGAGCGCAGAGGGAGAACCTTCACATTCGTGCGTCGCGAAACAGGAACCAGAGGAGGAGAAGGTACCGATGCCGATGCCCTTCCTCAGCTTCGTCGCTGTAGGCCTCCTGGGGGTCACTCGTCGCCGCGGCCAGATTCGCCCAGGAGTCTTGTAGGACGTGCCCTGCGAGAGGTCCGGGTGAGCTGCGGCGCATCGGCAAAGCATGACTGGCATCTCAGCCCCGTGTCGCGCCCCAGTGGGCCAGGACCCTCGTTGATCGATCTGGCCTGGGAGCCCCTGCACGTGCCCAGGCACCCCTTTCCCGGGCCTGGCTTTTCAGCCGAGCCGTTTCTTGATTGTCCTGAGCCCGCCAAGGGCCGCCAGATGCCGAACATTCAGGAGGGGAAGAAACACACAGACAAAATTAATCGTCCATTCTCAGGAAATTATGGGGACATATCCCAGAAAATATGGACAAATATGGGAAATCCTGTTATTTGTGTCTATTTTTTTGTGTGTCCCAGGGCCCCTTCAAACATGGCCAGCAGCATTCCGTCGTGCTCGTTCTTTCCAGCGCGAGGAGGTCTTGGCCCGGGCGGCGCGGGCGGATGGCAGGGTTGCAGGCGGCCCCCAGCCAGCGAGTCGGCGCCTTCGCCTCGAGGCCGCCGCGGCGTGCTGGGCTCTGCGTGCGGCTGCCACCGCCGCCGTCGTCGTGTTCGTCGGAGGCGGAAGCGGTGCTCCAGGTGGCCTCCGCGGCCTCCGCGGGCCGACGCGGGCCGAGGCTCGGGTCCGGAGGCTCGCCGGACGGAGGGAGTCACCGTAGTGCTGTCGTGTCCGCCATCTCCGCGGGCGGCACGAACTGGAAGGGGTAGGGAGGCTGGGAGGGAGGGAGGGAGGGAGGGAGGGAGGGAGGGAGGGGAGGAGGAGGAGGAGGAGGAGGAGAAGGAGGAGGAGGAGGACGGAGGGAGGGGGGAGGGAGGGAGGGAGCATAGAGGGATGGAACGTAGAGGGAGGGAGGCAGGGAGGAGGAGGAGGAGGAGGAGGAGGAGGCGGAGGAGGAGGAGGAGGCGGAGGAGGAGGAGGAGGAGGAGGAGGAGAAGATGAGGAGGAGAACGAGGAGGGGGACCAGAAGAAACCCAAGATGCACCAACGCTTCCTCACAAGTCCCTACAAGTGTTCCCGTTCCGTTCCGTTGCGGGATTCCCCCTTTTGCCAGACGAATGCCCTTGTGGGCCTGCCAGTTGGACGAGGCCTCGTTTTGCGAATGGTCCACCTTCCATTCTCTCGCTGTAAGAGATGCAAAGAGGTACAGTCATAAAGTTCAGGGAAGAGTCCAGTGATAGCGCTATTTTGAAAATGGACCCACCCTCCATCCATGTGAGCGTTGTGCAGAGTCAGAGTTTGTGTCCTAAAGTCAGAGGAGGTAAAACAATAACAGCCACCTTTCATCCGTGCAGCTGTTGCAGGATCTCGAATTTCTAGCCATGCACATTGAGGATGCCTCAGGCGGGAGCCCCATTTTGAAAGCCAATCGCCCTCCATCCGTGTAAGTATTGGAGTTTTTGTTGAGGCGCGTTTGCGTGGCTCCATGGCGAGATCCCCATTTTGAAGAGCCACCTGTGCTCCACCCGTCTCGCTGTTGGAAATATCAGGCCTCGCGATCATAAGTTGTGAGGGTGAGTCTTGGGCGAAACGCCTGGCCCGCCCTAACGACACGTCTGGTAATGCAAAAGGGACGATATCTAGAAGGACGAGGGGTGGAGAGGGGAGGGATGGAGGAAAGGAGGGGAGGAGGGAAGGGCGGGGAGGAGGAAAATGAGGAGGAGGAGGAGGCGGAGGACGAGGAGGAGGCGGAGGAGGAGGCGGAGGCGGAGACGGAGGCGGAGGGAGGCGGAGGCGGAGGCGGAGGCGGAGGCGGAGGCGGAGGCGGAAGGGAGGCGGGCGGAGGCGGAGGCGGGGCGGAGGCGGAGGCGGAGGCGGGAGGAGGCGGAGGAGGAGGCGGAGGCGGCGGCGGCGGAGGATGCGGAGGAGGAGGAGGAGGAGAGGAGGAGGAGGAGGAGGAGGAGGAGGAGGAGGAGGGGGGCGGAGGAGGAGGCGGAGGAGGAGGAGGAGGAGGAGTGGTCTATCAGGGAGAGGCATAGAGGAGGGATGAATGAGGATAAGGATGAAGAGGAGGAGGTGGAGGAGGAGGGGAGGAGGAGGAGGAGGAAGAGGATCAGGAGGTGTGCCGGGATGCAGGCATGGGTGGTGTCACCGAGCTCTGTGGTCATGATGGCGGGACTCCCCACCACTGTGAGGCAGGACAGCACACATGATGTGTGAGAGATATATATATATATAGAGAGAGAGAGAGAGAGAGAGAGAGAGAGAGAAAGAATGGCTGGATAGCTGAGGCGATAGGGAGAGGCGGCCACTCCACGGGACCTTTCGCCGCAGCTCGGCGGCGCGGTCGGCCTCTAGGCGGGCTGCTCGTCGTCTCCTGGCTTTGTGCCTGCTCGCGGCGATGCGCCCGAGGTGGGCGGGGGTGAGGGGAGGCCCGGGGGGAGGTGCGAGGAGGGGAGGGGAGGGGGGAAGGGCGAGAGCCGAGGAGAAACTCGGCCAGGGAGGACAAGGGGGAGAGAGAGGAGGGATGGTGGAGAGAGAAGGCACGAGGAGCAGGAGGAGGGAGGAGGGAGGAGGGAGGAGGGAGGAAGCGGAGAGCGGCGCCCCAGACGTCTCGGAAGACATGGGGCCCACCACGTTCTTCCCGGGCACCAACGCCGCGGCGGCGCACAGGAAGCGGGTGCGCGCCCCGCGGGTCGGTTGGGCCTCCTCCTCCTCCTCCTCGTCCTCCTCCTCCTTCTCCTTTTTACGTTGAAGCTGCTAATTTTTCAGACAAGAGCTTTGACATGGTGGGCAGATCCTGTTCAACACAGGGCTCTCGCTGGACAATTCCTTGAACTGGATGACCCTACCATTTTGCATATCCTATACTTAGAAGGGTGGAGGGCCGAGGGTGGAGGCTCCTTCACAACATGGGGTCTCGCCTGAATGGCACGCCCACGGGATGTTCATTTGTCGATGGAGGTGTTCCCCGCAGTGGAAAGGAGCACTTGTAGGGACTGGGCGAAGGGGGACTCGGAACGGGAGGGTGTGTTACAGCATCGTTGGTGCACGATGGGTTCATTCTGTTCCTCCTCGATGTGCGCCGTTGGCATGCTGGGCTGGAAGCCCGCTGGCGCCTGCGTGTTCTTGGCCTTCGCCGCTTGCCTCCTGCTCCGAGTCGTTTCCCTGCAGCTGCGGCTCGCGGGAGCGACGCTCAGTGCAGCGTGTGGGCCGGCTCACCTCGCCCCCGAAGGGGGGGTGGGATCTGCGGCTCTCCTCCTCCCGCCCCCAGGGAGGCTCGGCTCGCGAGCGGCCCGGCGGCTCTCGCCGTTGCTCGCCGCCCGCTTGTGCACCGGGGGGGCGGCGAGGGAACGCCAGCTTCGCACTTCGCGCACCTGCCGTGCTTGCACGCCGAAATCCCTCATGGACCGAGTGTGCCGCCTTTCTTTCGCCGCCTCCGCGGCCACCCTTCTCCTCCTCCTCCTCTTCCTCCTCCTCCTCCTCCTCCTCCTCCTCCTCCTCCTCCTCCTCCTCCTCCTCCTCCTCCTCCCCCTTCTCCTCCTCCTCCTTCTCCTCCTCCTCCTCCTCCTCCTCCTCCTGCTCCTCCTCCTGCCCCCCCGCCAGTCTGTGCTCAATTCGCCTGGCAGCGCTCCCGCTCAGGCTGCGGGCGCGATGCGCGATCGCCGGCGCTCCGCGCGCAGGGCGATCCGTGAGCCAGGGCGGCGCAAAGGGTGCCATTTGCGCACCTGCGCGCTTGCTGTGCTTGCGTGCCGCTGCCGTGTTCGATTGAGTCCCGGCGAGGCCCAGCGTGGCAGAACGTCGACTCGCGTACCGAAAAGTGCACGGGCCCACTACCCAGAACGTTCTGGGGGAACACATTTTTGTCGCCACATCCGCCAGCGCGCGCGCAGAGCACGATCCAGGAAGGCCTTCGCAAGCGTGCTCAACGGGATGCCAGGCACGCTCCGCTGCGCGCTGTGAGGCGTCCGCAAGTGAGTGGACGCGAGTCTCTCGGGAGCGCTACGCCCGTGTTTTAACGCACTCGGGACAATCTCATCTCGTGCATGGGGCAGTACGCTTTTCTCATGTGACTCCTTGCGATCCAATGCGGCTTCTAGATTCTAGATTGGAAGCCGGCGCGCGGAAGTAGGCTCCGCGCACCCGTTCAGCGTCGACCCGCGATCCCCGCAGCGATTCAATCGGCCTTGCAGCCAGTTCCGCGCCGCTTGTTTATATGTTTGTTTATTTTTCAACACGTCCACGCTTACGATGTGGACCTGGCTGGGTCAGGAGTCAGACTATCGGTTCTGCATGTGCGTGCCAGGCCGTGCGCTGACGGCCACGCGTGTGTGTATGTGTGTGTGTAAGGCCAAACATGGCAATGCGCGAGCGTGCGCACACCGTCCCACGTGTTCGTGGGCGACTCAGGTCACCCAGTAGAGCTCCTGGTCCTAAGAGTTCCAAAGCAATCTGGGTACAAGGCGCAGCTGCGTGGCTGGACCGCCGAGACGGGAATTTGTTCCTGGACGGCTCCGCGTGAGCTAGCAGGATTTCTCTAGCAGAAGCTGGCCTTTGGGAGTACGTAGGCCCTAAACGCTCGTCCGGCGTCGTTGTACGAACCTCAAAGCGTGCCGCCTGCTCTCGCGGCGCGTTCGGTTGGACACACTTGCCAGAACACGTCACGCAGAGGGGGGGAGGGAGAGGGGGAGGAGGAGGTGGAGGAACAGGAGCTGGACTAAGAGTTCATGGGAGGTTCTGGGTGGGCCCAGGAGGGGCTTGTAGGGTCGGGTCGGCCGAAGGGTGGGATAGGGGAAGAGGAGTTACGAAGAAATCTACTGCATGTAGCCGGTTATGGCCCAGCCGCCAGGCGAGTTCCTCCATACATTGGCGCTTCTGGCGCGGGGGGAAGGGGGGTAGCAGATCAGTCACCCCTCCTTTCACTGCACCCCCTCTCGCCCGACCCGAGGAGGGGAAGGGAGGGGAGGAAACTCGAGGCCACCCGCAGCCGCCCGAAACCCGCAGGATGTTCGGGCAGGACCCCGCCGGCTTCCTGCGGTCCCGCGAGCCCCACGCCGCGCTGCTCCACGCTGGAGGGCGGGGGGGGGGCGGCGGCGGCGGCGGCGGCGGGGGCGGCCTGCTGCTTCGCCGTCCTCGCGGTCCCTCCTCCCCGTCCTCGCTCCTTCGACCTGGCGTCGTCTTCACCACCTCGGCACCTCGCAGCGAGGCGCCGCGGGCAGCCTGTGTGCACGGATCTCTCCACCATCCATCCCTCCTCCTTCCCTCCTCCCTCCCTCCTCCCTCCCGCCTCCCTCCTCCCCCTCTCCGCGCGCGGGGGCGGGGGTGGAGGGGGATGAGGAAGGGGGAGGCTGAAGATGAGGCGAAGCTGAGAGGTGACGGTGATGGATGTAAAGACGGTGTTCCTGATGCTGATGACGAGGGGTGACCATGGTCATAATGATGTGCTGCTGCTGCTGCCGCTGATTATGATGATGATGATGATGATGGTGATGGTGATGGTGATGGTGCTGCTGCTGATGATTCTGATGAGGATGAGGATGCTGCTGATGATGATGATGATGATGATGATGATGAGGATGATGATGATGATGATGATGATGATGATGATGATCATGATGATGATGATGATGATGATGATGCCGGCTGCTGATGATGCTGATGCTGTTGCTGATGATGATGATGATGATCATGATGGCGATGAATATGACGATCACGATGATGCTGATGATGATGCTGCTGATGATGATGATGCTGATGTTGATGATGATGCTGATTCTGATGATGCTGGATAGTACTATGATGATGATAATTTTGATGGTGCTGCTGAACATGATGATGATGCTGATTGTGATGATGGTGATGATGATGCTGATGCTGATGCTGATGCTGATAGTGATGAGGAGGATGACGACGATGGTGATGGTGATGGTGATGATGATACTGATGATGATGATGATGATGATGCTGATGATGATGATGATGCTGATGATCGTGATGATGGGTCGATAGTGGTGATGACCCGACGTTTGCGGCCATTATTGTTGTCCTGATTCTGGTTATGGTGCCGATGACTATGTCTGTTAATTGGTGACGATGATGAGCGAGTGGCTACTTGGATATTTGCTGCTCTGAGTTTGGAATCCCGCGAGCAGAAGAGGTCACCAGACCAGTATGTGTTTTCGCAAGCGTTGCTTCGATCCGCCGCCTGTCTGAGTTTGGCGCTACTGAGGTTGCCTGCCTGTTCCTGCCTCGTCGAACTCTCAGTGTCAGGCGGCATAAGTATCCTGTGCGTAGTCGTGCCGCTCGCTGCTGGCTCCTGCGTGATCGCGATGGTGGTGGTGATGATGACGCTGTGGTGACTCGGTTGACTACGACGGTGATGATACTGATGCCGACTATGACGGCCATGACGCTGTTGATGTTGTTGTCGATGATGATGATGATGACGATGATGATGATGATGATGATGATGATGATGGTGATGATGATGATGATGGTGATGATGATGACGACAATGATGATGATGACGATTACGGTGATGATTATGCTGATCGTGATTATGACGATGATGGTGGTGATGATGAAGATGGAGATGACGCTGAATATGCTGATGATACTGATGGTGCTGATGATGATGATGATGTTGTTGATGGTGGTGGTGGTGATGATGATGGCGGTGCTGCTGATGAGCAGGATGGTGATGTTAATGACGATGGTGATGGTGATGGTGATGGTGGTTGTGGTGGTTGCGATGTGCATCCCCATTGTTATGATGCTGCCGACTACGGGTATACTGATGATGCTATTCACGGTGGTGATTAGAATGGGGGGCTGCGATACTGTGTGCGCCGACTACATTGGCGATGACGATTTCGCTGATGATGACAACGACGAGGATTCAGACGACGATGATGATGCTGCTGGTGGTGATGATGATGATGCTGATGATGATGATGATGATGATGCTGATGATGATGATGATGATGATGATGATGATGATGATGATGATGATGATGATGATGTTGATGCGGAGGAAGAGGAGTGACAGGATGGGAAAGCCAAGGGGAGGAAGAGGGGGAAGAGGAAGGGGAGAGGGATCGGGAGAGGAGTTGGGCGATGATGACGCCATGGTCCTGGCCGATAGCATGTCGACGAGCAAGGGAAGGGTAAGCGGCAGGGTGGGGTGGGGGTAGAACGGGGAGGAGGAAGAGGATACCGAGGACCAGTAGAATGATGAGGATGGTGGTGACGATGCTGCTGCTGATGATGACGATGATGATGATGGTGGTGGTGATGCTGTTGACGATGATGATGGTGAGGTGGAGGAGGATGCTGCTGCCGGGGATGATGAGGATGCTGATGACGATGATGAGGATGAGGATGCTGACGATGCTGAGGATGATGAGGACGATTCGGATGCTGTGGTTCATGAGTCTGATGATGAGGATGCTGATGACGCTGATGATGATGATGATGATGAGGATACTGAGGAGGATGCTGCTGATGATGCTGATGATCATGATGATGCTGATGTGGATTATGATGATGAGGAGGATGACGATGATGCTGCTGATGATGCCGATGAGGATGATGCTGATGATGACGATGACGATCAGGGTGATGAGGACGATGATGCTGATGACGATTATGCTGATGATGCTGATGATGATGACGACGCTGATGCTGCTGCTGATGATTTCGAGGAGGATGATGATTATGATGATAATAATAATGATGCTGCCGATGATGAGGATGGTGAAGATGCTGATGCTGAAGATGATGAAGACCAGGATGAGGATAAGTATGATGGTGATGATGGTGATGGTGAGGATGATGCTGATGCTGCTGATGAGGATGATGATGGTGATACAGATGATGCTGATGGCAATGATGCTGATGCTGATGATGATGATGTTGCTGTCGATGATGATGATGCTGCTGATGCTGATGCTGCTGTTGATGATGCTGATGACGACGACGACGACGACGACGATGATGATGATGATGATGATGCTGATGATGATAATAATAATAACGACGACGACGATGATGATGCTGATGCTGATGGTGACGATGCTGTTGACGATGATGATGATGCCGCTGATGATGATGACGCTGATGATGATGATGATGATGATGATGATGATGATGATGATGCTGATGCTGATGCTGATGCTGATGATGATGATGATGATGATGATGATGATGATGATGACGAGGCCGCTGATGATTATATCGATGCTGCTGCTGCTGATGATGATGATGATGATGGTGATGATGATGATGACGACGACGAAATGATAATGTTGCTGCTGCTGGTGATAATGATGATGATACTTCTGCTGCTCGTGATCGGCAAAGGATGCTCGCGAGGCGCGTGAACGGCGCAGGGCTCGGTTCGGTCGCAAGCGTCGCAAAGACAAAGATGGCGGTGCTGATCTTCCTGCGGATCATGCCGAATCGCAGCCTGCTCAAGCCGCTGGAGATACGGGATCTCGCGAGGGCGATGCCCGTGAGGCTGGCTTAGGAGCCGCGTCCAGCGGCATCTCACCCCCTGCGTAGGCTGCCACAAAGGACATTCGTGCCAGAGTCGACAATGTCCTGTCTGGTGCTGCTCCCCCCCTCTCGATAGGAGGGGGGGGCAGCGATTTTGTGATGGAATCAGCATGTTCCCAAATCAGAGCTTGCCTCTGTAGGGGTCCTAGCGGATTCGTACGGTTAGGTTAGGTTTGCCGCCGACTTTCGCCGCACGCCTGGGTGCCTGGGTGCCCGGGGGTGCCCGGGTGCCCGGGTGCCCAGACGTGCCCGGGGGTGCCCGGGTGCCCGGGTGCCTGGGTGCCCGGGTGCCCGGGCGTGCCCGGGGGTGCCTGGGGGTGCCCGGGGGTGCCCTATAGCCCTATAGCCCAATAGCCCAATAGCCCTATAGCCCTACAACTCTATAGCCCTATAGCTCTATAGCCTTATAGAATAGCCCTATAGCCCCCTAGCCCTGTAGCCCTGATTGGGTTTTTTCTCTGGTATCATCTTTGCTTTTTTTAGCCTCTCGAGTCTCCACGATCGGTTCCACTGTGCGCACTTTTGGCATCAGGCTGACCAGGAAACTGAAAGCAATTTCTCGACGGGAGGTCTCTCCGTTTTTTGCCGCCCCTCTTTTCAGTGTGACGGTCCAGTGCCCCCAGCAGACAAAGCCGCTCGCGATCCCCATCCCTTTCCGCTCCCATGGGGCGGCGAGGCCATCTGCAGGATCTGCAGCCGTCGTCAGGAGAACTGTCTGCGAGGCTATGGGCCGCCATCAGCTCCAGCATGGTAATTGTGACCCAGTCTCTTGCAGCATCGAGAATGGCTTGCAGGTGACCGCAGTGAACGTTAACTCCTGGGGCTCCATGAAGTCCTTCTTCTACTCCTCTCGCTCTGCGCACATCATTATTTTTCAAGAACGCAGGTTGAAGGGCGTGGAGGTCGACCAGGCCGCCAGAGGCGCTCTGTTCTTGGGCTGGAAATCCCTCTGGACTTCGGGAACCATCGGCGTCGGCGGCGGCGCGTCCTCGGGTGTTGGCGTATTCGTGAAGGACGCTCTGGGCATGCTTGAGGCTGATCAATCTGTTCTTTTTGACGGTAGGGCCATCGCGACGATGGTGCGCGTGCCTGGCTGCGCCGCTTTCTGCGCCCTCTCCCTCTACCTCGTGCGCAGCGAAGGTCTGTCTGAAACCAACGGGGGGATGCTAAAAGAAGTCGGTCGCTTCTCGAGAACTGTGGATTGTGAGTTCATCATCGGAGCCGACTGGGACTCCAGCCCAGAGGTTCTTGTCGAGTCTGTTTCCCCCTTTTCACGTCAATATTTTTGTGATCAGCGCCTCCCGAGCACGCCTGCTTCTCGAGCGTCTGCCCCCCTGTTCGGTTCGATTTTTTTGTGGTGTCTCATAGGCTGTCTTTGAGGGTTAAAAGCGTTCAGGTCGTTTCCGACTCCTTTCTTTCGCCGCGCAGACCCTTCGCGTTGAGTTTTCGCAGTTTTTTTGGTGATTTGAAGGCTCTTGCCTTTGGGTGTCCGCCCGACCTCCCTGTTCCTCCTCCC